ATCTTCCTCTTCATCATCTTCACTTCCTTCGCTTGACTGATCTTCCTCTTCATCATCTTCACTTCCTTCGCTTGACTGATCTTCCTCTTCATCATCTTCACTTCCTTCGCTTGACTGATCTTCATCAGTTTCTTCGCTCAAGTGATCGTCCTCTTCAGAATCGCTCCCTTCGCTTGACTGATCGTCCTCCTCATCATCACTTTCTTCGCTTGACTGCTCTTCCTCTCCATCACTTCCATCCGAACTGCTGTCTATGTCGGATTCCTTACTCTGGTCAGACTGGTCATCCGAGTGCTCTGACTGGGGTTCTTGTGGCATGTGCTTAGTGTTCTTTACATTTTGCTTTGTGCCTTTTAGCTTTTTTTTCGTGGTCATCTGAGTCAGTAAATAATTCAATAAATATGTGATAGAAAGTTAGGTAAATGCAGATAGTAATTTAGGCAATATTAAGAGCAAGGTCGTAAGTAAGGCTGGAGTTATATATTTGTAAGATATCCTTTATCCTGTGGCAGTATCTGAGCCATGGATTGAGATAACTTAGAGTTGTCATCCTTAATTTTCGTCATTATCACAAGTTTACAAAGTGTAGATTTTTGAGCACCACCCCCCTAAAAGGATACGTTGATGGATGAAAAATAGTCGATCATGATCTCCCTATATACAGATTCTTATTTTGTGATGCTAAGGAGATTGTATGAAAGCAAAATAAAACCATGTCTTGTAATATTGCTCTTTCACTGTATTAAAATGAAGAATCTGATGACAGGGCATATATATTTTCCCATGTTCAATTAAATTAAACATAAAAATTGCTGAAACCATCCTGGTACTAATGTATAATGTGGCAGACCGAACGGTGGAAACTTCATCTGATGTCACTTCAGCTGGGTCTCCCAGCTGGGCATCATCAAAGGCAAAGCCACAGTCCCATAGAGTGATTTTAAACCTTCAGCCTTGCAACACTCACTATGAATTGTCGTATACATTTTAAATAAATCAAGTTTACAGGTTCAATGTCGCATTTCTTGAAGTTATACATTTAATACATTTTCTGTAAAGAGATGCGGGTGCATTTTATGTTGATGAAGGTTGTTACAGTATTGGTTTTATAATGTATTTATTGTACAGTGGAACCTCACTAATGAGACCACCATCTAGACTGAGCCTTTTGGTCTTATATTAAGGATCAGGGTTTGGGTCAGTCAGACCTCAAATTTTGCATATAATTTTATTGTGATCTTTTTTGTAAGAAAAGTTCTTTATCATTTTCACAAAGTAGCAACATTTATATAAAACAAAATCAAAATGATAAAATTACTGGCATATCTTATTCACAAAAAGATATAAATTAGCATGAGAAATACAATGTGAGATCACTAATTTAAAGTCTTTAAACATGACATTAAAAAATATTTAGTCATGTCACTGACATTGACAAAATTAATTCAAATATATATACAGTATGGCTACAGTCACTGTGCCTTAAAAAAGTCTTTGATGGATGTTTGTTTCTGTAACACAGAAGGAGCAGCAACAGTCTCCTTCACCAAGAGGAAGGAAAAAGTTACGGTTGGTGTAGAATGTTTGTATCTTACGGATCATGGACAAGGCTTGGTACACACTGGTTACTGTTGGTTTTACTGGCCCTGGCACTGGCTCCTGTGGTTCTGGGTTTTGTTCCTAAGCTATACGATCCTCCTAGCCCTCAGTGTAGTCCTTACAGGTCTGCTTGGTCGGTTAATTGGGGTTCACTTTATCATTCATATCCGTTTTCTTTATCATCTAATGTTTAGAAAACGGAAGAAATGTTTCTACGGAAAAGCGGCCAGACCTGCTAGCAACATCGACGTGGCTCGAAATTTGACACGTGGCCGCCGCCGATCATCATTTTTCATTTGAAAAAAAAAGTGTACGCCTGGTCTTAACCCCCCCCCCCCTGCGTACGGCTTGTACGCTCGTGATAATGATGAAAATTATGGATGACCCCTTATTCTGTAGAAACGTGAGGAATTGTTCTTCATAAGACACCTTTGCTTACTACATAGCTAAATCTGACAAATGCCTAAGCTTTCCATGAGGGAATACAATATAACTTTATAGGATGGACATGAATTGAAGAGAGGCATCGAAGCGTAATGAGTAAGTATTTATAAATAATTTTTTTTCCCTTCAAGTGTGGGTGAAGTGTGGTAACACTTTCTTGTTGATAGACCTACACTGATGCCACCTTACAGCAGTAGGTCTCAACCTAAATTCTGATTTTAGTTCCTTGATAGCATTTACGCTGCCATTTACTCTCTTCGTCTCAATCATGATTAAGTGCATATCAGGCGAAGGAAAAATGGAGTAGAAATAAGTTCATTATTAAAGTTTTGTACATCACGCAGAGTTAGAAAAATAAATATTACTTAAATGGAACAAAATCATCCTTTGAAAAGAGGAATTAGAGAGTCCTCGGCTCCAATCAAACTTTCTCTCATTCTCTTAGGGCATATTACAA